ATTAAGTACACTCGAAATTCCTGAAATGTGGTAGGCGTGGCTGCGTACTTTAACTAAGTGGGGCGGTGACGGTACTATTTGCTATATTTTCATTTTGACACAATTCATGGTCATGTCTCTGTCCAACACTCAACAAGATGACACTTGTCTCAAATTGAAAAAATCTAACGAGCAACCCATGCTTTGCAGTGTCAAATGTTACGCCTACTCCATCTCAGCGATGAAGAGTGTACGAGCACCTCATGGTCCAGCGATGCTCTACCCGTCCCCAACAATTCTGACAATAGGTACTGCATGATTCGAAAAAATAAGGCAACATGTATCATGGCACGTTGCCTTATGTTCGCGTGGAGAGCATATTCATGGACTTCGTTACTTTCTTTCTTTCTTTGTTCTTTTTCTTCTTTCTGGGTTCTGGGCTGGAGAGGCTAGTCCATGGATTCTTGTCGACTGAGCTCACTCGTCACCTTAGGAGACCGGGATGACAACCTTCTCTTGTGTCGCCCATTGCTCTTGTTCAAACGCTCTGTACACCTGTGCCGTACAGCCCTGGACAGGCGTCATCCCGCAGATAGGCATTAGCTTGATAGCTGCAGGAGGGCCATCGGAGGGCCAAAAACGGGGCCTTTCCAAGTACACAGTGGCTAGCACGACGACGGCTGCGCACGGTCATGATCCATGCAAATGATAGGGCGTGTGACGCGGCGCTGATTGCAGTGCAGTTAGAGCTCCTCTTTCCCACCAATGATGCCATCCTGAGCTCGATACAGTTGATCTAGCTGCGCTCCACTTCTGCCGCCGTCACACGCCCTATCGTTTGCAGGGACCATGACTATACTCCCGTACCCTTCTTCCTAATACATACATCCCCACCAGCCCCCCCCCACTTGAACCTCTGCAGCCGCGGCCGCGCTCGCAAAATGTCCTTTCAACGTTGCCCTCAGATCTGAACTGTAAGTCCGTGGATACGCCCTCTACTACGTTAAACTATGCACTAATTGTTTCGTCAACAGGTAAGCGGACAGTGGGTCGACAAAGGAGAACAGCCAGAAGCCACCCCAAAGGCCGACCTTCACCCCAAAAAGGTTCTCCTGTCCTGTTGGTGGTCCAGAAGAGGCATGGAGTACTGGGAGCTGCTGGAGAAGGGACAGACGATTGACGCTTCCACATACGTGACCCAGCTGCGGAAATTGAAAGATCACGTCGACCGTACTCGTGGAAGGAATGCGGAAATCTACTTCCACCATGACAACGCCCGACCTCACACTGCAAAGGCGACCCAGGCCGAGCTGGAGAAGTACGGATGGCTGATGGTCGCCCACCCTCCTACAGCCCTGACCTCGCTCCTTCTGACTACTGGCTGTTCAGCCACCTGCAGCGCTATCTGGACGGAAAAAAGTTCGAAACAAAGGATCAGGTCAGAAAGGCGCTCGACGACTTCTTCAAGTCCCAGCCTCCGTCGTTCTGGAAGGATGGAATCGACAAGCTGCCTGAGCGCTGGCGTCGAGTAGTGATGGTGATACCTCTAATCTCCAGGCTGGTTCGTTTTGAGATATTTACAAAAGTCGTGTATAAGAACTTATGCAACAACCTAATATAAGCTCTCAAATGTGTCAAATGATCCGGTAGGCGACTAGTAAAGTAACGTGATTAGTAAATAGTTTGACCAGTCTATTAAGAACGTTGGACGATACTCGCCATCACAATTCTTGTTATGTGAACATACCTCAAAAATCGACATCGATCTGGAGCAGCGTATAATCGTAACAAATACTCTATGGTAAATATTATAACACAAGCAGTATCGTAATACAAAAAACTGAAAATAGTGCTGTTATCGAGTAGGAATCAGACGATCAGAGAAGTGTCCAAGGTGAACTCAAACTCACTTGTCTCTCATAGGCGTCTCCACAGGAGGTAGGAGTGTCATTTACATACCTGTAATGAACCAGTTAAGCCGCCCGAACAACCTCTCATAATGTATCAAAGACAGGAAACGTCGCTGGGTGACAAGGCACTGTTCGGCTTAGGGGGGATTCGCATTTTTGCCAGTTCCTTCTGCTAGTTCCGTTAAAGTAACATCAAAGTGAGAAGCTGCGAACCTCGTGAAGCTGCGAAGTGGCACAGGTATGACATATTGAATACAGGAATGCACAGGTCTTCACAATTCTGTACAAGGTTCGTCGAGACCCATTCAATGCCCCAACAAGCCGAACTGCGCCAATGACACTCTCGATCAGATCAGACTTACCAGCATGGAATGGTCTCTATTATATTACATAATACAGAAACAGCAATGAAAAAACCCGTGACATAATAGAATACAAGTGCGACCGACGAGGTGTGCGGATTCTCGAACGCCGCCCACATCTTCTGCTGAAAATCGAGAGATTTGCGCAAGAAAATCAGTAATTTTGTGACTTTTTCTTCCAAATCTGTAATTTTTCATTACTTTGCAAAATTTGTTCTTCTCTCTCTGAGGCCAGCTGGCTAACACTCCAGGGTATTATCTCGGTTTTCAAGGGGAAAAGGCCAAAGACCAGAGTTGTAGTTGTGTTCGCTGTGAATGCTGGGGTGTGTCACGGGACTGTGATTGGCCAGCGCCAGATGGTTTTTCATGAAATGTGGTCACTCGCCAGCTTCCAGTATCAGAAAGAACGGGACTGACTCCTCACCAAACAGAGCCCCCTGACCCGCCCAAGCATCCGCAGGGAACAAGACCATAACGAGAGAGTGTGTGCGAAGGCATGAACTGGATTGCAACCAAGGCGGCCTTTTCACCTAACAGTGCCGTCCCGAGCCCTCAACGACAGATGGAAAAAGGAGCTGTTGGTTCGTAGGGGGGGGGACATTTCGCACTTCCTCTTTGCTAGTTCCTGTCAGTTAGGATAGCCTGTAATGCCTTGTAAAGTTGCGAAGTGGTTCATATGAGGTACTGTGGTTACAGCCACTCGGTGCTCCCACCAAGCTCGGCTGGTCCATGCCCCATCACAAAATCTTTCGTTCGCTGGCTGCTGACTGTATCTATGCAAAAGTGCCGGATAAAG